TGATACCGTAGCAAAGTCAAAAACCATGTAGAACATGGATGGAATCTCGTCAGTTTGGCCTTAATAAAATACGGTCGATCATTCTTGTTAAGAGGTCGACCTGTTTCACATTTATAAACAATGGTCGACCATTTCAGTAAAGAGGTCGACCTGTTTCACATTTACCCAAAACGGTCGACCATTTGTGCAAAGAGGTCGACCTTAATGAATCATGTCCTTGTACAATTAGGATTTTGTGTACTTGTCCTTGTCGAATTATGATTTTATATATCTTTCACCAATTGGATAAGGAATTCGTCTACATTATCTATAAATAGATGGGAGTCTGAAGACTTTAATCGTACTTCGATTTATGCAATTTGTTGGAGTGAAGTTGTAATATCATCGCTCTTATTGTGATCGGGTGTTGGTGGCGGTTTATTTTTATTCCGGTAGACCGTAATAATAAGTGGTCGACCTCTTTGCTAAGGTACGTCTCGTATGTGCTTGTTAATGCTTGTATGTGGTTAAATTTTTCCTACCATCCGCTCGACCACCCTCACCATCGGGTCGACCGCGCTTTTGTAATTATATGATTAGGTCGACCTTTCAGTAAATTCTGGTCGACCGCATGTTTGTTATTTAGTAATAAGGTCGACCGTACAGTTTATTCAGGTCGACCTGACGAGCGCTAATTGTGTATGTTTTTTACATTAAGTTCGTATTCCGATCGTTTCAGGATGGATAACAGAGATGATACAGATGATAGAGATGATGATGAGGTTAACTTCGATGAGGAACCTAAGAATGCTCAAGAAGGAGCTATGGATAATTCAGATGATACAGATAATACAGATGATGAAGTGGTTGGGGATGATAATGAAACCGAGGGTGCTGAAGAAGAATTTATGGATGATGAAGAAGCTACTGAATATGAACAACAAATTCCTTCCATGGAGTTCCAAACTTTAGAAGATGCAGAGAAATTTTACGATTCCTATGCTAAAGCGAAAGGATTTAGCGTTCGACGTAGAGATCTTCGGAGGAATCGTCGAGGAGTAGCAATTGGGAGGACAATGGTATGTTCGAGAGAGGGGACTAGAGATAAGATGCATATAGATAAAGAAGGTCGGACTCGACAACATCGTAAGATGACAAGACATTATTGCAAGGCATCGTATACTGTACGCTTTGATCGGAATAAGAAAATGTGGGTTGTTTCTAAGTTTGAGAGGAAGCACTCACATCGTTGCTGCAATGAAGAAGAAAGTCAATTCCTTCGGTCTCATCGAAATGTGAGTGAAGGAGACAAGGCTCTGGCGATAGGGATGCGACAGTCAGGAATAAAACAACGCAACATTGTTCAGTTCATGAAGAATAAAGTTGGAGGATATGAGAATCTGGGTACACTCCAAAGGATTTGGAAATGCTGTTCAGCAATCCCGAACAGTTGACGACGATCTAATAGGAGATGTCAACCGAACATTGGGTTACTTGCAAAGTAAACATACCTCTGATGCATGCAGCTTCTTCAAGTACACAACCAACGATGAAGGTGAATTAGGCAATCTCTTCTGGTCGGACTCCACATCAGAGCAGATTACCATTTTTTTGGGGATGTCTTGGCGTTCAATGCATGCTACAAGCGCAACAGGTACAATCGACCATTTGTTATGATGGTTGGTGTAAATCACCACCACCGTAACATCATATATGGTTTTGCCCAGTTGGATAACGAGACAATCCCCAACTATGTTTGGTTGTTGAATACTTTTCTGGAGTGTATGAACTCTAAGATGCCCACTTCAGTGATCACAGACGGAGACAAGTCTATGCATGGTGCCATTGCTACTGTTCTGGTTGGAGTGCCTCACCGTCTTTGTATTTGGCATATTGAGACAAATGCGACAACGGCTGTTCATAATAAGGAGTTTGTTAGCGCATTCACTTACTTGGCGAAAGCACGAATATCGATTGAGGAGTTTGAGAGGCGTTGGGAGCATTTGATTAGTCAGCATGGTTTGTCTGCAAATAAGTGGTTGCAGGATTTGTAGGCTGACAAATTACTGTGGGCAGAGGCATACTTGAAGGATATGTATTTCGGTGGACTCCAATCAACCTCGCGATGTGAGTCATGTAACCATTGGATAAATGGGTATGTGGGAACTCAATACAGCTTGCAACGTTTTGTTCAGGGCATTGATGAAGCACTGGAGGGGATGCGTTTCACGGAGGTGCAGGATGATTATACTTCTAGGCACACGAGGTTGGTCTGCAAGCATGCCCTTCGCACTTGGGAAATGCAAGCTGAAAGTATCTACACTCATCGTACATTTGCTATCTTCAAGTCTGAACTAGAGAATGAGGCTTCTTATGTATTAGCGGAGAGAAGAACTGAATCAGATGGGACAAAGACATTCATACTGAAGAACTACATGAACCCAGATCGGATAAGGCGGTTAACATTTACTACGTCCAATCAAGATCTAAAATGCGAGTGTGCATTATTTGAATCTAAGGGGTTTCCATGCAGACACATGCTTACAGTAATAAAAAATATGTGGTACACCGCACTTCCCTCGTCGTGGTTCAAGCTACGATGGACCCAAAATGCGAAGACACTAAATCGTCATCCTGGAGTTGGAGGTGATGTGGGAGAGAAAGTTGGTCGACTGATAAGACATGGAGGATTGGCTCTAAAGTGTAAGCGTTTGTGTGACATCGCGTGTGGTAGTGAATCTGCTTTTAATCATGTCTCTAAGACGTTGGACGACCTTACTCAATGGGCAATTGAGTTCGCGAGGGAGAGAACGGACAACACCACACCGGCAAACCCTCCAGCACCCCTTCGAAGTGTGAAAGATCCAAAAATTGGGAAGACCAAGGGGACATTCAAGTCAGCACGAACTGCATCGGGTAAAAGTTCAAGAAAGTGTTCGAAATGTGGGAAATATGGTCATTTTTGCCCTAAGTGCCCGAAACAAAGTCCCAAAAAAGGATCTTAAATTTCTTCTATTATTGTTTAGGAGTTTATTTATATTTTAATAACTGTGATTGCATTGTAATTTCTTCGAATTATCTTAATAATTTATGAGTTAATTGATTTTTGGTTGATTGGACGAAGATCGGGCGCGAGGCAAGTAAAAAAGAAAGCCACACGGGCACACGCACAACCCACACGGCCGTGTGATGTTGCAATTTGGCCGTGTGGAATTATGCGAGGCCTCACACGGCCAGGCTGGGTGAGCTACACGGCCAGGCTGGCGGCAAATAGCAATAAAACGGTCGACCTCATACAAATAACGGTCGACCTGAACATACACGGTCGACCGAACATGTTAGTGAGGTCGACCGCGTATTTAATTCGGCCGACCAAACCGGTTTGTTTGCAACATCCACCCAAACCTCCCCCAATCCTCTATTTAAGAAACCCTCCCCCACTCATTCTACACCACAATCAGAACCCTATCCCACCACATCCACTCATTCTTCCTCTCCTTTCCCTTCTTCATCTTCTTCTCCATTTTCCAAAAACTCCATTTTCCAAAAACTCAAAGAAAGCTTCATCCTCATCACTTAGAAGAAGAACAAGGTATAGCTTTCACTCCTCTCTTTCATTTGAGTCGATTCTTGTCTTCTTCTTTCTGTTTTCAAAAAATCTAAAGATGTAAAAGAGGGATTTTTCCTTCTGTTCGTCAGAAGCGGTCGACCTGTTCGTCATCGTGGTCGACCGCGTCTGGCCTTAAATCAATTTTTATTTCTGTTTTATGGATTAGGTCGACCTATGATGATATTGAGGTCGACCTGTGAAGTTCGAGTTGAGATTTCTGGCCTTATTATTTAGATCTGTAGCTTGAAAATATGGACTTTGTCCTTCTGTTCGCCAGATGCGGTCGACCTTTTCATAATCATGGTCGACCGCATCTGGCCTTAAATCGATTTTTATTTCTGTTTTATGGACTGAGGTCGATCTATGATGATATTGAGGTCGACCTGTGAAGTTCGAGTTGAGATTTCTGCACTTATTATTCAAGCGATCTTATTTCTGTTTTTTTTGTGCGAAACTAACACAGGTCGACCGCTTCTATTTATGCGGTCGACCGAATCTGTTTTGCACTCAATTGATACGAGCATTTGGGCCATTTCTTTTCATTTTAATTTAGCCGAGGTCGACCTATGATGCTTCTGAGGTCGACCTATGAAGGCAAAAGTTCGAGTTGTGCCTTTGTCTTTGAATTATTTGTGCAAAACTAACACTGGTCGACCTCTTCTATTTATGAGGTCGACCGAATTTGTTTTGCACTCAATTGATACGAGCATTTGGGCCATTTCTTTTCGTTTTAATTTAGCCGAGGTCGACCTGTGATGATTCTGAGGTCGACCTATGAAGGCAAAAGTTCGAGTTGTGCCTTTGTCTTTGAATTATTTGTGCAAAACTAACACTGGTCGACCTCTTCTATTTATGAGGTCAACCGAATTTGTTTTGCACTCAATTGATACGAGCATTTGGGCCATTTCTTTTCGTTTTAATTTAGCCGAGGTCGACCTGTGATGATTCTGAGGTCGACCTATGAAGGCAAAAGTTCGAGTTGTGCCTTTGTCTTTGAATTATGTGTGCAAAACTAACTCTGGTCGACCTCTTCTATTTATGAGGTCGACCGAATTTGTTTTGCACTCAATTGATACGAGCATTTGGGCCATTTCTTTTCGTTTTAATTTAGCCGAGGTTGACCTGTGATGCTTCTGAGGTCGACCTATGAAGGCAAAAGTTCGATTTATTTGTGCTAAACTTATTGAGGTCGACCTGTGATGATATTGAGGTCGACCTCGGGCCATTTAAATCGATTGAAAGGCAATTGTGACTTTCAGAAGCCGCGCAGTGCAGGAGATTAGGCCATCTTGCAATGCACTCGAAGACATAAACGATTGTGTCTTCGAGTGCATTACAAGGTGGTCTAATGTCCTGAACTGCACGGCTTTTGAAAGCACAATTGGCTTTCAATCGATTTAAATTTTCCGAGGTCGATTTATGTTTTTTCTGAGGTCGACCGGATCTGTTTTGCACTCAATTGGTACGAGGATTTGGCCCATTTTAGACTCGTTTCAATTTAGCTGAGGTCGACCTATGATGCTTCTGAGGTCGACCTATGAAGGCAAAAGTTGGAGTTGTGCAATTCTTTGAATTATTTGTGCGAAACTAACACTGGTCGACCTCTTCTAATTATGAGGTCGACCGGATCTGTTTTGCACTCAGTTGGTACGAGGATTTGGCCCATTTTAGAATCGTTTCAATTTAGCCGAGGTCGACCTATGATGCTTCTGAGGTCGACCGATGAAGGCAAAAGTTTGAGTTGTGCAATTGTCTTTGAATTAATTGTGCGAAACTAACACTGGTCGACCTCTTCTAATTATGAGGTCGACCGGATCTGTTTTGCACTCAATTGGTACGAGGATTTGGGCCATTTTAGACGTGTTTCAATTAAGCCGAGGTCGACCTATGATGCTTCTGAGGTCGACCGATGAAGGCAAAAATTCGTGTATGTCGACCCATTCCCGTTTTAATTAACTGAGGTCGACCTATGATTCTTCTGAGGTCGACCCATTCTCGTTTTAAACTAACTGAGGTCGACCGCTTTATGGAGTGGTCGACCGCGTATTGTTCATTTCGAAAATGTGACTAACGTGTATTCTTGCTTGTTTGATCGCAGGATGTTTGGCGGCAAAAAGAAAAGAAAGGCACAAAAAGCTGCTGCCTCAAGTTCGGAATGGGAAGAGTTCAATCCCAATCTGTTCCAGACCAAGGAGCAAAGTGAGAACTATGAAGAGAAGAGAATGCACAACCGCAGGGTGGCTCCGGGAAGGCCATTGACGACGGATGCGTATTCTCATTTCGAGAATTACGGGTTTCTGGGACCCTTCATCGAGCAAGAGTGGTTGAAGGTGATATCTCTCAATGTACCATACTACCCAAAACTGGTACAGTACTTCTACAACAACATCGTCTACGAGCGCAATGCAAATGGATCCATTCACGCATTCAAATCCTATGTGAATGGGGTGGCGATGCGCATCAGCAAGAATGTGTTGGCGCAAGTACTTCAGGCTCCAAACGAGGGGAAGAGAATCAATTCTTACGGTGCTTGGAATGAAACGCATTTCACGAGAGCCAATCAAATCCAGACGGTATGTGGTCTTGATGAAGAGGAAGATGCTCAGGGGGGCAATAGGCCATCGAGTAACCACCTGACAGTTCAAGCCAGAGTTCTTCACCACATGCTTTCCTACAACATTCTGCCAAAGGGTGGACATCGGGAGACAGTCACCTACTTCGACATGGAGCTCCTCACCAACCTACTGTTAAGCGAGAAGGTGAACTTGCCATACTTAATCTTTAACCACATGCTTAATGCTGCAGAGAGTTCAAACAGGAATCTTCCCTATGGGATGATCCTCACTGTGCTATTTGAGCATTTTAATGTGAATTTAAGTGAAGAGGTGGGGTTAAGAATCTCAAGGCAGGAGTTCTATACTGTTTCATCTCTGAAAAAGATGGGCTTTGAGCTGCGTAATGGTGAGTATGTCAGAGTAAACAATGCTCATGGTGGTGATGATGATGATGATGATGATGAGGGTGATGAAGGAGCTCGAGACGAGCCAATGGGGGAGGCACAGAGTTCAACTCCACCGATCACCTTACAGCGTGTGTGGGAGCGCATGGATGGCATGTACGAGTACATGGGCCAGATGTCCACCCAGATGACTGGCATGCACGACTACATGGGGCAAATGACCGCCCAGATGAGCACAATGCAGGTGATCGTGAATGAGATGCGAGATGAGTGGTGATCTTTCAGCGGAAGATACATGCATCCCACCACATCCGACCACCATCATGCTAGCACCACCAATGAAGAAAATGTGGATGAGAGAGAGGGGGGAGATGAGTAGGAGAAATGAGTTTTTATATTGTGTGTTTTAGTGGTCAAAAAGATTGTTGAGTGTTATTCTGTTGTTTTTTTAGTTTTATTTTTATGTGTGAACAATTATGATTTCTGTTTTATTTTTAGTTGTTATGCTATGAATTGATGAGTCCTTGTTATAATTATGACTAATTATGATGGTTTGAAACATAATTTATACGATTAAAAGAACCACACAAATCGACATACATAAGCAAAAAAGACACGGGGCATAGGGTGACTTTCTTGTATTCGGTCGACCTCGTAACGGATTAGGTCGACCGCGAAACCAACACTTGATCTTGATTTTACGTCAATTAATTGGACACTTTGACAGAACACTTATCTTCTATCTGGTCGACCTCTTTCATCATCCGGTCGACCATTTTGTTAATGACTGCAATCAAGTGGTCGACCTATATACCTTAGGTGGTCGACCATGTTGTTTCTGACGCCAACGAAATGGCCGACCCAGGTTTTATTCTGGTCGACCAAAAAGTGCAATAGGTCGACCATGCTTTCTCGTGCTGCCCAAATTAGTCGATTCGGTCGACCGCCTTCAGCAATAGGTCGACCGAAAATTAGTCGAAAATTAGGTGGTCGACCATGCTTTCTCGTGCTGCCCAAATTAGTCGATTCGGTCGACCGCCTTCAGCAATAGGTCGACCGAAAAGTGCATGTCACCGTGACATGCATGTCATAGTAGGCATACCCTATCTTATTATAGTTTGCTACCTAATTTTTAATGAAAATCAATATTTTTAATATTTTTTCTTAAATTACATAACTATATGGGTTGATGTGCACCGACTCATGCTTCATGATTGATTAACCGACCTTGAACTCACATGCCACGTAGTTGGTATGCCTATCAGATACCCGCTCTGACCTAACCCATTGCCATTCCTAATCCGGTGTAATTGAGCTCTTAATTTATTAATCAATTTGACTCGGATAAATAATATACAAATAGGTCCCACGTTACCCTCGCCAATTTTACATCTAATGAAGGTAACCAATTCTTTTTAAGGGCCTTTATTATGAGGATGTTATCGTCGTCCTAAAAATTACTAAATGTGTCCTAAAAATATTCTTTCACTCTTTTGGTACGAAGAAAAATAATAATTCAAATCCTACCAAAAAAAAAATTTCAACTATCCTAAAACACCCCTTAAATGCTAAATATTAAAAAATTACAATCACAATTTAGTTTATATTACATAAGTTAATCCCAATTAGAAAAATATTCGATTGGAAGTAGACTTTGGCTGATCGTTGCCATGATAAAACCCAATTTTGTTAACTATCGGTCGACATATCAAGATCAATATTCGATTCGACCCCAATTAAACTATTTTTTTTCCTTAATAGGATCGAACGGAATGTTGACCTCGATGTGACGGAGGGCCAAATGAAATTCATTTTCATTACGGCCTATTGTCAACATAAGTTAACATTCCGTCTGCCCAAAAATATAGCCAATGACTTTCATCTTCTTCTCAGATTGTGTCTTCTTCCGTTGTTATCATTCGATTTTCTATTTCCAGCCTCACTTATTCATTTTAGGGATAACAATTACCCACCCATGATAATTATAGTCAAACTCAAATAGATCCATTGATAATGATTAATGGGGTAGGGTATAGATGAGGTATACATGGGTTTGAGTAAGGTATGAATATTGCTTCCATAATCTAAAAGGATTTGGGTTGGGTATGGATATCCATTTTCTTGAGAGTGTTTCAACTACACATAACATATTTGTAAAACTTGAAAAGTTTAAGTATCATAATGCAAGACCCAAAAAATTTAGGTACTAAAATATAATTTTACATCGATATTTTGAGGACTTATATGCACAGAAATAAAATTTAGGTACCTAATTTGCATATCTATTAAGCTTAGCTACCAAAAACTATAATTTGCATTTGGGCATGGGTACAAACCAAAATCTATGTGTTAAAAATCCAACCCAAATTCATAAATATGGGTACAAACCCATCAAACTCTACCCATCTACCATCTATTTGGATAGTAAAATATCTATAGGTATGGGCAAAATTATCATCCCTAATCCATTGCATGAAATTGCAATTTCATCTTCCAATTCACATTTCAGATAGTAACTAAAATGATTATGCTATAAACACTGTTAATTTAATTGCGTCGAATAGGCCAAGCGACTTGACCGAACTAAATTTGAAATGAAATCGAGGTTTTGTTTGGAATAATGAAATGGCCATTAGCAAAATTAACCTAGGCATGTAGTTTGGAATAATGGTATGTTAACAAAAGTAACCCTTTGGCGGTAGGAATCTCATATTCCAAGAGTGGCTTCTCGTAAAGAGGTCGGCATTCATTATTTGGTCCAAATATGAACAGAACGCATGCGTTTTTAATATTGGCAAAATTTCCCTTCCGTGAAATAGGGAGAGCCAATGAAAATGCCAAGTGGTAAGAATGATATGAAGTGAAGCATATAATATGTTTTGTTGATTACATTAAGATGAACAAATAAAAAAACTAAGTAAAAAAAAAAAGGAGGCTTCTTCAATCTTTGGGCACCAATCAGAATTGGAGGCCTATCCTTTGAGGCTTTTTGGCCTCCATAGATCATCATTTTGGGCTAGAAACATTGCCCATGACCTAAAAAAAGAAAAGAAATAGTTAGAAAAAAGCCAAACCAGCAGCCCACATTTGAGCGCAATTCAGGCCCATGATTTTTGGCCCATTTAGATCAGGTCAACCAACCAGATCAACCAAAGTCAACACTGGTCAACCTGGTCAACTCTGATCGACCCGGTCAGCCAACCCCATTGTCTATATCACATCCCAAGAGGCAGCATATCCATATCACATCTCAAGAGGCAACAGATTTTTATTGCTGCTCTCTTAAAAACAACAATTCGGCCACCTCCCCAAGGAACCAACAAGAATTTGCCATCAACATAAGTAGATCTGGCCACCACCTCACAGCCCAATGGAAGACAGCCAAAGCAATAGAATGAACAGTACAAGGTGATGATATATAAGGGGTTCTCTTACCCCAAACAAAGGCAGCAGAGGAGGACTTACAGGAAGGAAAGAACAAATAAAAAACACTAAAGAGACAAGGCATTAAAACACAAAATAGACAGAGCACGAAGCACAAAAAGGGGCAGATCAGGAGCATTAAGAGGTACAAAGGATGCAGAAAGTCAGAGATAGCAATAAGCCATCCCCATCAAACTCCACCAAACCACAAAAAGAGGTTGTGTTTCTTCACCCCACCAATCACACAAGCACATATTCACCCATTACATCCATATAGTAACTCAAAATCATTTAATATGGTTGTAAATGATGTTGCTTCTTTTTTTACATAACCCATTAGATACGGTGCTTAGATCTGTATGTGAAGTGGGCATAAAAAAGTGTGTTGATTTTTTGTAATATGTATGCTTCTTTAGACCAACCATTTTTGTCGTTATATGCTATGCCTATCGCTTTCAATTTTCTGGCAAACATAACTTTTGCCGAGTGGCTAGCTAAATTTAGTGCTCTAATCAACTAGATTAGTCCATTTACTCTTTTAACACATCAATAATCCAACAATAAATTCAAAACAGCAAAAAGAATTCAAATCATACCCTTGGGAGAGTATTTTAAAATACCTCCTTTTGTGTTTAAGGGCACCCCCTTTTTACCCAATTACCAAATTTGGTAATTACAAAGTCCTCATTTAGTTATTATTTTGTATACCAAATACAATAAAAGCCCTAATGTCATTGAGAATTCCATTTGTTACCAATTCGTATAAGCCTTTTAATCAACTGTTTAACCAAATCCCAACTCTAGAGAGTTTCCTACCAAATTGATGGTCATAAGCAGTAGCTGTGATTTCCAAATACCCTAGGATCATTATAGGTTTTAAAAAATTAATAAAGCAAGTTCTCGTTTCTACCAAATCCAAAACAGAATATTAAGGCTAAACAAACCTAGCAGGGGTTCTAACAAAATTTACTTTCATGACACCAAAGATACTTATAAACAATCATGGTTACGATAACTAAACCGTCCATTTTAGGTTTAGAAAAGGTATCACCTAGTTTCTTCAAACTGAAGAGATATGATAAAATCAAGGATATCAAGAATTAGAACCCCAAATAATGATAATAATAATAATAAACCCAGAATAGCAAAAAAAAAACCTACTTAAGTTAAACCCTCGACGTCGACTCTGGCGAAGGTCGCGCCGCCGAAGACCACCGCCTCTCTCTTTCTTCTTTCGGCAGAGATCCGAAACTAAAAAAACCCCAAAAACTAAAACGGGTTAAATCTCGATCTAATGCATAAATCGAACAAAAATTAGCATGAATGTGGAAAAATCTTGCCAGAGGGTAAGGGTCACCCCTCGTCGTCCTCGTTTTGGTGAGGAAGAGATCGAGGTCACGAATAAATAGATCTAGTATTCCCCCTTGATTTTTGTCAGATTTTCGGAAAATAAACAATAAAAATAGGGTTAGAGTCTCGAAATCCCTAAAAATCATACCTAAAATAGTAGAGAATCGTGCAAAAAAAAAGCAAACTGACCTTTGATTTTAAACCCCGTCGCCGTCGTTGGCGGCGCATGCCTCCAAATTGTCGTCGGCGACACCCTTCCTCGTTGTCCCTTTTCGTTTCCAGAACGCGAGAAAAGGAGAACGTAGGGAGGAGTAGAGGGGAAGGCTTGCGCCGTTTTTCCTCTCCAGTTAGAGAGACGGCGAGGGGAGACGGGACTCGAAGGTTTCCTTTCTCGGTTTAGAGAGGAAGAACGCGAAGAGAAAAGAGGGAGAGCGGCGGAGGTTGAGGGGTGAAGAGCAGATTTAGTTGGCGGTTAGGGTTTCGCAAAGGGGAGAAGAGAGGGAACGTGACGGCGGTGTAGAAGAGGCGGCTAGGATTTCGCCTTTTCTTTTTCGTCGATCTGTTAGACAAGAGGAGAGGAGAGTGATCGTTTTTCGTCGATCTGTTAGAACGAAAAGCAACAGTTCAAATGTTGTCTTTCGGGGCCAAAATCTTGACAATCTTTTGGACCTTGTCCCTTCGAGCCACCCACTTTTCAATCATGCTCTTCAATCCCTTAAGCTACAAATATGTCGTAAAATATTTAGGTTACTATATGCAACCAAGTCTACCAATGCACTATCTTAAGTAGCAATGTGAAATTTCGTAAAATAAAATGTAGCAAAGATCAAATCATTTACCTGGTCTATGTCAAGGCTAGTCAAATCTTCATACTCCAACCATTCTGCGGTGGGCATCGGTCCATGAGCTGTAGGAGGAGCTGAACTGCTCGTCCCTGTTTCACTAGTACCCCCAATAGCCTTCGGGGCCTGGAGTTGGTTGCGAGAGGCGACTTCTTCCCTACTCAGCAAAGCAGCAGCTAGGAGATATCTTTCCCCGTTAAACTTGGGGACAGCTAGACATGCCCTCTCCACATTTTGCTTCCACCAAAACTGGTAGCTAGGAATGATCTTTGTGTGTAACCCGCGCATGCTAAGGAAGTCTAGCAAATGGATTTGTAACCAAACAAAATTAATTAACTAATGTTCAGCTAGATTTCTAGTAATTTAACCAACAAGTATCGACAATCAATACCAACTGTATTGGCATCTATAATGATATCCTGATAACATTGCAGGCAGATTTCTTGCAATTTAACCAACAAGTATCGACAATCACTACCAAATGTATCCTATATGACTATAATGATATTCAGATAACATTTTCAGCACATTTCTTGCAATCTTACCAACAAGTATCAAAATTAATTTCTAAATGTATAAAAAAAACTTATATCTTACTAAAAATAAGTTGATATATCCGAGAAGCCACACACATTGTTATCTCACCGCTGTACATGGGCGTTGGGCTGTGCTTGGGCCGGCACGACACGGGCACGCTTCAGGCCCATTTATTTCGTGTCCTGCTTGGCACGGCCCATCAGTTTTTGTGTCGTGCCATGCAAGCCCATTTGTCAACTTTGCTAGGCCCGGCCCAGGCCCAGACACGGTTTGAATCGTGCCATGCCTATTCATGCTCGTATTCATGTTTAAAGAAAAGGACGAAAACAAAAGAGAGAATGAAAAAGAAAGTGAAAATTGGACGGGGAGTATTAACCGATAATGTTTGAGAAAAGTAACGAATGGGGGGGGGGGGGAAGAAAATTGGAAGTATAGCGCGTGTGATTTGGCTTTGGGGTCTTTTGGATGGATCAATTGTAAAACGAGACAATTTGACCAATTGTTTGACTTAACAAAACGAGTCATTTAAATTGAGTCAATGTAACATCCCGTTCTGGCAAAACCCATATTTCGATCGCTAGAAAGTTCGCGATTTAAAATCGAGCGTTTTGATAGTATTTCGGCGAAAATCGGATTATTGATCGATCGGATAAGTATACGTATTAATTATATATATATATATTGACTTTTCCCCCACCCGAACCATTATCTCTCCATCACACTTCTTCGGTTCCATTTTTCTGGACCGAGAGCAGAGGCTCTTCAGGGGAAGCGAGAAAGTAAATTGCAAAGCTCAAAATCTTGAGCCCTAGTGATCCAAAAATCCCGTAAGTAATGCCTATTTCATCAATTCACCGTGATTTATCGATTTAGAGCTATAAAACGAGTTTTTGGATCAGGAATTTCTTGAATTCCCGATAAGCCAAATTAGGGTTTCGGAGTATCCGGAAGCCGGATTGAGCCCAAATTTCATATACGAGCTTCCTGCAGCGAGGTAATCAATCCTCTAGTTCTAATCCCTGAATTTCGTCTATTATTTAGGCCGGGGTCCAAACCGCTGAATTTAACTCCGGCCAGGGTTTGATGTGTTTTTATCAAGAATTTGACCCGGAGCCTAGAACTAATATTGACGGGGATACTGCAGGGGATATTAGGGCGGTCTCGGATTTTTATTCGGGGTTCATTCGTGAAATTGACGTTTTAGTACGGGAAGCTTAAACCGGTGTTTCATCGACCAGAACTGGTGAGGGATTAGCACGGCATACCGGGTTTGTCGTATCACGATAATTATATTAATGCTTAGAATTGACCTAGGTGAACTAGAATGGCATGATTAGGGGTGTATGGACTTTTTTGCTATATGATGAACCCTGGACTGTTGTATGATATTATTGACTTGCCCTAATCGATATGAACCTTGTTTATGTGGATGATTGCATACATGTTGCCATTTGTGGCTTAACTATTGATATGACTTCATGGTTGTTCGATAAGGGGTTTTGACATGGTGTGATATTATGGTTGTATTTGGATCCATAAGTGGGGGAATAAACTTCCCAGGGTGATATTATGATGTTTAAGGAGGATGACTTGCACGAGGGTTTATCCCGAGGAAGTGCAATTATACGACTCCTGATTTACCTATGTCGAGCCAATTATGGCCAGGTCAAGTACATGTGCAAGTAATGAATTATGATTAAGCAAGATGAGATATGAATCATGTATAAGGATACCAAATATGAGTGTTGTGGTCTCACGGTCAACTACATAGTAATTAGGGCTCCCTATGCTATTACTCTATTATGATATGTATGATAGTCACACCTCTCATGTGGTGGTGACTGAAGAATTCTTATGAGATATGACCACACCCAGAGCGGTGTCGGGGTATGACTACACCCATAGTGGTGTGGGGTATGTATGACCACATCCGACGGGATGTTGGGGTATGTATGACTACATCCGACGGGATGTGGGGTATGTTTCCCGGGAGAGTTATTAGCATGGGAGTAGCTAGGCGCCTATAAGTAAAACATGATAAGATGCTTATGCATAAGTCAAGGTGGTTGAGTCTTTTGCCTATTGGGATGTCGGAGAGCTGAGATATGATCCCAATGCTTTGGCTTGTTTGATAGATGTATGGTAGGGGTATGCTCTGTTATGAACTCACGATGCTATGATTATCTCACTCAGCTATGAGCTGACCCTCTTTTATTCTTCTTCTCTGCTTATGCTACGTGTAAGCAGATCATCATCAGCAGCAGTAGATAGGTGTATAGGTGGGAGCTGAGCAAGAGTTGAAGGCAAGATGAGGTATGGTCTTCAACTACTCTGTGCTTGGACTACTACTCGGGATTTTGGCCAGTGATCCACACCTTTTTGTAAAAATATTTTGAGAACGTTTTTCATGTGCATACTAGCTTCTGATCTAGTGTGAGATATCCACAGGTGTGGAAAGTTAATGATATGTGTATATGTTGTGTAACTGTGTAAGTTGTGACGATTATGGTATGTGTAAGTATGGTATGCAGTTAGGAAGTATGAAAAGTGTGACTATGGCTAAGAAAAGCCAATGCATATGGTTGTGAGTATATATGTTTGTGATGAATTATTTTGCAGGATAAGTTGCAAGAACTGTTAGCCCATTACGCGAGTAATTCATGTCGAAATTTTATTTAGGTAAATTTTGATAATTAATGTAACACCCGAGGTTAATTCCGCTGCAATTGTATGAACAATATGATTAGGCAAAACGTATAGGGTAGGGTGTTACAGTCAATTCAGATTACCTGCCCCCACTCCAGACAATTGTAATTGGCTCAAAATGACTCAATTCAGAATTCACTAGCCAAATTGCTCCATCCATATTTTTTGCTGCCAAACAGATCAATCTGACACAATTATCTCAAAACGAGACAATTGTGTCACATCGATCCATTGGAATTCCTCATCCAAACGACCCCTTTGTTTAATTTTTTGTCCATTTTTACTAATGTTAGTAATTCTTTATATATCTTTATGACACTTCTAACAACAACAAATAATTATTTTTCTACTTGTGTTTTGTAATATTTGAACCTGTAATTCTTTATATATTTATTTTCCATCAAATAAATATTATTTTCGTGCCATGTCCGTTCTTATACTCAATAAAGTCTCGAAAATATTAGGCCCGACACGGCCCACTTATATACCGTGTCGTGCCCGTGCTCATGCCAGTGCCCATGAAGTTTAGGCCCGACACGGCCCATAAATTATTTGTGCTCGTGTCGGGCTGGCCCATTTATTTCGTGTCTGTGCTCGTGTCGTGCTCTAACCGTGCCGTGCTAGCCCATGGGCGGCACGACCCGGTGCCCACGTACACTCACCGCACTAGGAGAAGATTCTTTTCTCTTGCCAGAAGGCGACTCTACCTTAAGTTCATGAAAAATATAGGAACACCAATTGAAAACCCTCACGTCCTCGAAACTCCCACCTATGTATGGGGCAAATTCCAGATGACACACCGAGCAAATGTTATGGCGAGAAATGAACCAGTCGTTAGCAACAAGAATTGCTTGACAACCATTGCAACAGGTGGTCTAGGATTTTCTGTTGAAATGGCCAACTTGCGCAGCTTCACCAGCTCAACATTGCGGCTCCGGTTACCAATCATGCTGAATCGTTGCTGAAACTCTCGAGCATCTTCCCATCAATGTTCTTGACCTCAATCTCAGCCCCAATAAGAGGAAGGTCGTATACATGTGCCACATCCTCAGGTGTGATGGTGAACACCTTCTTGGAGTCTCCTTCACCGAAAATGAAACTATCGGTTGAGAGGTCATAAGCCGCCATCAAGTCGTCCAAGAAGCCTGTGTTAATTTTTGTCATTCCAAGGTCCAATAGGCCCCCAAACCCGACCTTCTCGGCTTCTTTCTTGCATGGTGCATAGTATTCAATATCCCTTTTCTAGTAGTTTATCACTTTGAGTAGGGAAAAAGGTGGAGCAGCGGAATCTAAAGTACGAGCTCACTTGTCCCTCATCATCTTCTTACTCATTTTCTTGTTGAACTACTTCTGGTTCTTCAGCAGGCGGCTGGCTAGCTTGATCCTTCTCCGTGACGAGCTCTCTTTGCAACCATTTTGGATCTCACCATCACGCAAAATTCCTGAACACATTTATATATTATGTTAGGTATGTACAACTTCCAGACTAATATCTAAAATGCACAGAATAATATTCATAGCAACAGAAATTATATCGTCACATCATAATTGTATTTTTCAACCAGTATATCCAATTATTATCGTGGTAAACAAAGAGTGTATCCAAAGCTAGATAAAATGATATCCATGAAAAATCATCGGAAACAATAACTAATGGTATCAGAAATGACAAAACTGATATCCATGGACCCTAAATCAAGCATTCGACAAGTGAAACCCACACCCTATCTAAAATGCACAAAATAATATCCAAAGTAACAAAACTGACATTAACACATCAGAGTAGTAGTTTTCAGCCAATATATCCAATTATTATCGTGGTAAACCAAGAGTGTATCCAAAGGTAGATAAATGATATCCATGAAAAAGTATTAGATACAATTACTAATGGTATCCGAAGTGACAAAATTAATATCCATGGAACCCTAAATCAAGCATTCGACAAATGAAACCCACAACCCCCAAAATCGAACAACAATAAACCCAAACTTGGTATTTGATCAAACAAAACACAGAAACCCCATATTTGAATCACACACAATCTTATTCTAACATGTCAACAAATGAAACCCAGATTTCCACAAAAAAATCCACGAAACCCTAACTTCGTATCCACAAATAAAATCAACAAATAAGGAAGGAGAAGAATCCTACCTCCATCGTCTGATTGTTCCATCTTCAACGACTGTTGCGTCGCTCGAAAAACCAACCCTCTTCGTCGTCAAAGCTTCATCGCCGTCGCCTACACCGTCTTGTCTTCACCGTCGCCGTCAGACGAGTCATCTAACTAGCCAAACGAGCCTTCGTCGTCGTCAAACGAGTCGTCGCCGTTGACTTTTGGAGTGAGAGAGGAGAGGAAATGACCCAACGGAGAAAGATGAGAGAGAGAAGGGTCATAAAAAATTATTGTTTTTTGAATTTGTGGGCCCAGCGTGCCCCACTTTTCCATCCAAAAATCTGTGGGCTTGGACCACCCGATGGACTAGAATTTCTTCTCATCAAACGTCGGCGCCATTTTTCCTCCATCGTCCGATGGCACTCAGCAACATGGCCAGTAACCCATCCCTGTCAGTATCTGCTAACAGATCCCACTATTAGCACCATAACTAAATTGAGAACATGCAGGTTGTTGAGGAAGGCTGACGCGGCAAAATAGATTTGTTGACATTGGTATAACTGGTATCGGTCAGTTCAACTAGGTATAACCGGTATCGGTCATCAAACTGGCTGGAGAGGGGCAGTATTTAGTTTTGGTCAAATCCAGTCAATGTTGGTCAAATCTCAAACGCCCCGATCCTTTTTAACCAAACAAATACTCATGGCTTCGGAGCCCATGCAAAACAACCTAACAAATTTCATTAAAACAAATACAATTGAATGCTTTTCAAATGAAATGTTCTAAACATGTGGGCTAACTCAATCCTTAGCCATTAAAACAACACATCTTGAACCTTGAACCTCCAGTATATACTCATAGTCATGAAGAAAATATAACTAACTAACTCAAGCTCCTCGTTGAGCTTCCCTCGATCTCGTCCACTATGGTGCGGCTTCTCGCCTCGCCTTGCGTCTTCTCAAATTCCTCATCCGCTAACCCTTCCTCAACCTGGCGAGTGAGAAGGGGTCAGTCTCATCATTACTACCTAAGGTCTTGCCCTAAGCAAACCCTTACTAACACATTATTAGCGTGTTTCCTTTCTTAGACGAAAGTCGTTCTCGCTTTCGTCCTTATTATTTTATTCCAACCTTAACTCATAGAAGTTCTCAACTATATCCTTAAGTCATAGTAGTTCTCTACTTCTACTGTTAACTCAAACACACAAATACTAGGGACCACCGCGTTACGTATCGTCGTCAGGTGTCCCTACCCTAGTATGCCAACCACGTTACGTCTCGTCGTCCGGTTGCATACACAAACTTGGCAATGGCACTACGTTACGTCTCGTCATCCAGTCCATGCCCGGTCAACTACTGCATTATGTCTCTTCGTCCAGCAATGATCCGACCATCTACTGCGTCCAGTAGTGGCCCAACCGCCCGGGGATTCATCTTAACATTAACCAATTATTATAAATATACATTCATACATAGCACAACGCGTGCCTCCACCTTAAGTAGGGGGTGGGATGCCTCACACAAATATCACACAATACACAAAAATTAACTAATTAATAACTTGAACGAAAAGCATAAACTAAAAGACCTACGACATAGATTTTACCCCCTTTACACTCACCTCATGATTAAGCTGATTGACTTGAACTCGCATTAGAGTCATCTCTCTTTACATGAACGCAGCTCCACTCCTCTGTTTGCTTCCCCAAGCTCTTTACATGACCATCCAAAGACACTAATTATTTCCAAAACACTTAGGAACCTCTTACAACCTGGACTAATTATGCTTTGCCATTAGAAACAACCCAATTAAGCCCAATCATTAATCTAGCCACGTTAACCTTTGTTTCCCACCAATTACCCACTTAATTGACCATCCTAGATAATCCATTTTAAGCTGCATCTTGTAATCCAACTGACCAACTTAAGACTCTTGATTTCCCTCGGAAACAGTAGGCAACAGGACAATCATTTCCAGAGTCGACCTAACAGATGCAACTCAATCATGTATCTGTGTTGTTCGTTCTTCCTACCTTACGATATAAGTATAAAGGCTTGTTATCTACTCACACTGGCTTAAATCCATGAACGAAATCCAATTCCATTTGAGCTCTTACTCCGACGATCGATCCATCCTTGCGAGGATTTGAACGCCGACAATTCATCTCTCCCATACTTTCTTTTATGCCCGTCCATTCCTGGGGGCCTGAAAAATTAAAGCACCAAATGCCGCAACTCGATCTTCACAAGTGATTTCCATCACGTCACTTCACTTTATTTTCGGTTCCGCTAAGACGAGAGGGGAGGATCGAGATGGGAGTGGGGGTTTCTCAGTGGCTGCTGTTGCTTAATGCGCTGCTTTGAGAGTAACATAGGGTTAATTAAAATGATAAAGGGAAAGTTAGTTGGGATGTTACTCATGAAGGAATTGTTAGAAGTTAATGTAGCATTTTGTAATTAGCCAAGTAAGTTAATTACGTTTTACAACCTAGTTAGGGTTAGGCTGTTTTGTATATATGTGGTGAGCCTCCTGTGATGTACGTAAGAACTTCTACAAGATTATACGATTGGCTCTAAGAGGTTGGCCCTCTCCGTGGATTAGTCTCAACGATACTCGTTGAGAATACCACGTAAATCCCGTATTGTTCTTCCTGCTTTATTCTTGGTTTTCATGGTATCAGAGCCTCGGGCTTGATTCAGGATTCTTGTTGGGGTGTCTTTCTCTGCGCATCCTTCGGTTTTGGGTTTTGTTCTTTGGCGTCTGTGCAGCCTTCTGTTCCGAGTTCCGGTCGTTGGTTTTCTCGACTTTTCGTTTGGGGTTTTCAGGTTTTCGCACTCTCTTGGTTCAAGTGCTATTTTCAGCTCCCATTGGGTATTGTCTTCGGCTTCAATTCAGGTTTCGCTTTTTTTGGGCTTTGTCTCTTTGATGTCTGATTCTTTCTGCGCTGCTATCATGGATTCTAATCGCTTGGATGGATTCTCAGTTCGTTTTGATGGGAGGAACTTCTCCCTATGGGAATTTCAATTCCGAATGGTTGTTCAAGGACGTCGTCTCCTTCCGATCCTTGATGACTCTCTTCCCGAACCCGCTGCCACCGCTTCGGATAAGTAGAATACCGAGTGGGATGTCCAGAATGCTCAAGTCATGGCTGCAATCCTCGCCTCAGTTGAGCCTCCTATTGCGCTCAGCCTGCATGGATTCACCACAGCTCATGCGATGTGGAGCCATCTCAGTGGGCTTCATTCTCAAACAATTGCTTCCCGTAAGTTTGAGCTAGAGCTGGATATTGCTAAGTTACATCAAGGGGATTTAGAGTGAGATCCTACCATCAAGCTGCAGTAACTCTGTGGACTGAGCATGACATATTGACTTCTTCATTGGTTTCTTCTACGGCCTCGGGTGAAGTTCTGCAAGAGCGAGCTAGCTCGCGTTTAATGAATTTTTTGATGAAATTACGAGCTGAGTTTGAAGGGATCCGCGCTTCCCTGTTAAATCGCAATGTTACCAAGCTGGAGGATGTGCCGGGAGAGCTTATTTGCGAAGAAACTCGGCTTAGGAGTCAAGCCAAGATCGACATACATGCTGCGGATGCTACTCCTGCAGCCTTTTCAGCTGGCGCCTCCTTTTGGTAATTCCCTTGCTACTTCTGCTTTTGTTGTGGGATCTGACCGTCCTCGCTTTCATCGTACTGCTAGTGGGGAAATTATATGTTATTTATGTAAGGAGCCGGGACATGTCCAGCTTCATTTCCCAAAGCGAAATGCTTGTAATTATTGTAAGGCAACTGGCCATAAGATTGAGGATTGTTCGATTCTTGCAAAGAGGGGCCGTAATAAGCAGGGGGCTGGCTCGTCTGGTCGAGGATCATCTGCACGCCCAGACTATGCGGCTTCTCTAGTTGCCCCAGCTTCGGTTTCCATCACTCAGGATACCATTCGTCAAATGTTGTAAGAGGTTGTCTGTGATGTGCTTCCGTCGACTTTGGGTTCTGTTTTCACTGCTGGTATGGTATGCCATCTCCCTCTACTCCCACTTGGCATCTTGACTCAGCTACATTTAACCATATGACTAGTTCTCACTCATCCTTCCGTCAACTGCAGCATACTAGTTCTCTTCAGTTGCAGGTTGCTGATGGTACTCCCTTGCCCGCCCATGGCATTGGGTTGGCTAGAAATCTTGGCTTATGTCTTCCCAATACTCTATATGTTCCTCGATTAGTACCAAATCTTGTATCTGTTGGTCATTTAGCTGAAGAAGGTTGTCACATCATCTTTTATGCAGCTAGTTGTACTGTGCAACATCGAAGACGGGGAAGGAGATCGGCTAGGGAACTAGACGAGGTCGGAAATTGACTCACTCCTACTGTCACTCTAGAAAATGGCCAAGTGTAACCACTTCCTAAAGCGTAGTATAGCAGGTTTGGGTTTTAATGTCAACCCGGGTCCTATATGTGATGACTACTCAGCGAATTCTTATTATTTAGCGGTGAAACTTTAGTGCAGGTTCAAACAAGCAAAACAAGCAAAGAAATTAAACGGTTGTTTTCAAGTCGAGAGAGGTCACCCGGATATGGTTCCCCCTAGACTGCAGTTGAGCCGGATTGTAATTTACCAAGTTCAGTTTTAATTATAGTTATACTGCGGGAGGTTCTTAAGCACTCTGAAGTCTCGACTAAAGGTCTCCAGACCCTCTCAATCTGAGTCCCCAGCGGGGACTAACCTCCACTGGAGTAAACAGATTGAGGCCCTAATGAACAAAACCTCCACTACCGAAGTAAACTCGGTACAGAATAGTGAATTGGCTCCTCGACTAAAGTCGCCAATTCACTACCTTCAATTAAGGGTGCTCTATCAACCTAGGCAGATATTCTCTTTCTAGGTTAAAGCAGAAACAACAGGAATTTGATCAGGATTCTTGCCATTCAATCATTCAAACCTCAATTGAATATAATCATATCATAGAATCTGTACTTGGGTTCATACAATCAGCCCAAACATACAAATCTAGGGTTCTCCATACCCAGATGAAGAAGAAAACTACTCCATAGAGAGAGATGGAAAATCTAGCTCAGATGCGGAAACCATACTGTGAAGGATGATAATCTGCTTCTGGCGCTCAATCGGATCTTCTCCAAGCTCAAGCTGGGCTCCCGTGGTGATGGAGATTGTATCAAAGACACTTGAAGACTCAGTTTTGTCACTTTCTCTCTCTAGGTATCGCTCTCTCTCTCTCTCTAAAACTCAGAACCCCTTCTCATTTGGCTCAAATCTGCCTAAAAGGCCGACCCTGGGCAAAACACGGTCGAGGGCACGGCCGTGCTTTGGTTTTGCCCGCCCGTGTTTTGCCCCGTATTAAAAACACGCCCGCGTCGGCCAAAACACGGTTGTGCCTAAATATGGACACGACCGTATTTTGCTTTTTCATCAATTCAGCTCTTGGCAATAAAAACATTGGCGTGCCTGTTTGTGTACACGGTCGTGTTTAGATTTAGGCCAGCCAATGCTTTGGCCCCAGCTCGACCGAATGACTTCCAAATGCCTCGAAACTTGTGCTTAGCCTTTCCTTCGATGTCTGGGACCTGAAATATGACAAAGTAGTACAACCCGGCGTAAAACGGGCCAAAAATACACGACTACTAGCCGCAAACGGATAAGAACTAAGGGTGCAAACATGTGCAAATACATCGTTATCATATATACACTCTAGAAAGTCTTGATGGGCGGCAGGATGGTGCGGCGGTCGAAGGGGGTGTGGCAGTCAAGTCCGTGGCAGCTGAACCATCCTCTGTAGTTGGAGTTCAGTCTATTAGTTCAGTTGGTTTTTCTGTTCATTTATCAAATTGGGATTTGTGGCATAAACGTTTGGGACATCCACATTCTGCTAGACTGTTAGAGATGTTTAAGGATAAGCTATTGTCGGGTTCATTTGTGTCGGATTCTACTAGTACTTTCACACATTGTTTGGTAGAAAAATTATCTCAACATCCTTTTGGTAATAGTACTACAGTTTATTCTGATCCATTTGATTTAGTTCACACTGATCTCGGGGGGCCTTCTACTATAACGACACGCATGGGGTTTCGATATTTTGCACTTTTTATAGATCATGCAATGCGTTTTGTATGGATTTACTTCCTTCGTCAGAAGTCAGAGCTTCTCGATGTTGCTAAAGAGTTCATTCAGATGATAAGAACATAGTTTGGGAAAATTGTGAAGATTATTAGATCAGATCCTGAGGGTGATTTTTCGTCAGGACCATTGCAGATAGTTTTCAAGGAACACGACATTCCACCTCAATAGTCATGTCTTCAGGTGTCACAGCAAAATGGACTGGTTAAAAGAAAACATCGACATGTTTTGGAGCTTACTCGGGCGATTTTGTTTCAGTCTTGTATCCCTTCTGGTTTCTAGGTTGAAGTAGTTCATACTATTGGCTACCTTGTTAATCGCCAACCTACTCCTGTCCTATCTCATCGCAGTCTGATAACGATGTAATTACACATATTTGCGCCCCTAGTTCTTATCCGTTTGAGGGGCATAGTCGTGTATTTTTGGCCTATTTTACGCCGGGTTGTGCTATTTTGTCATATTTCAGGTCCTAGGCGTCAAAGGAAAGGGTAAGCACGAGTTTCGGGGCATTCGAAAGTCATTTCGTCGAGCTGGAGCCAAAACACGGGCACACCTAAAACAGAACACGGCCGTGTTCTGTGGCCGTGCTTTTACTGCCGAGAGCTAATTGAGTTTGGCAAATTCAAGCTGCAAACACGGGCTGAAAGCACGGCCGTGTCCACCAAAGCACGGCCGTGTTTCTCCCAACACAATGGCCGTGTAATTAACCCTAGCCAAAGCACGGGCGGGCTGAGGCAAAGCATGGCCGTGCCCTCGACCGTGCTTTGGCCACTGATGCCCTTTTAAGCAGATTTCAGCCAAAACAGAAGGGGATTCGAGTTTTGAGAGAGATAGAGCGATTCCTAAAGAGAGAAAGCGACGAACAAGAGTCTCCAAGTGCCCTAGCTTGATCTTCAACACCATTGGAGGCCAGTTTGAGCTTGGAGAAGTGCCGATCAACGTCCAGGAGCAGGAATCCATCCTTCACAGTATGAATTCCGCGTCTGATTCTGCTTTTGCTTCTTTCTCCATGGAGTAGTTCTCCCATTCATCTGGGTATGGAGAACCCTAGATTTGTATGTTAGGTTTGATTGTATGAACCCAAGTACTGATTCTATGAGTTGATTTTATTCGATTGAGGCTTGATTGATTGAATGACTTGAATCCTGATCAAATTCCTGTTGTTTCTGCTTTAACCTAGAATGAGAATATCTGCCTAGGTTGATAGAGCATCCTTGATTGAAGGTAGGGAGTTGGTGACTTTAGTCGAGGAACCAACTCACTATTCTGTACCGGATTCACTCCGGTAGTGGAGGTTTTGTTTGTTAAGGCCTCAATCTGTTTACTCCGGTGGAGGTTAGTCGCCCGCTAGAGACTCATATTGAGAGGGTCTGAAGACCTTTAGTCGAGACTTCAGGCTGTTTAAGAACCTTCCGCAGTATAACTATCATAGAAACTGAACTTGGTAATTACAATCCGGCTTAAGTGCAGTCTAGGGGGAACCATATCAGGGTGACCTCTCTTAACCTGAATACAACAGTTTACTTGCTTTGTTTGTTTGGTAGTTTAGACTTGCATTAAAGTTTCATTGCTAGATAACAAGAATTCACTGAGTAGTCATCAAATCTAGGACCCGGGTTGACATTTAAACCTAAACCCGCTATACTACGCTTTAGGAAGTGGTTTCACTTGACCAATTCCTGGAGTGACAGTAGAAGTGAGTCAAGTTTTTGGCGCCGTTGCCGGGGACGGCTAGGTTGTTGAAGAAAAGTGATTTCTGTTAATTTAGCTTTTCTTTTCGCTTTGTTTGCTTTGTCCCACTTGTGCCTTCACGGGTGTGTTTGCTTGAGTGTGTGCAGGTAGTGCATGACCCGTAGCCAGTCGGGAGGTTTACTGCCGTTGAATCCAGAGATAGACCGCACCTGTCGCCAACTCAGGAGACAACAGCGAGCTAGACTGGCTACGGAAGAGCGCATAGACGGCCACCTGAGCAGCGATTCTGAGGAAGAGTACAGGATGGACGGAGAGTACAATCAACACCAGGGGAATCCTCAGCAGGCTCCCCCGGTGAATCAGGTCCTGGGGAACAACCCCATACCCCAGGATCATGGGGTTCATCATCCACCGCCGCCGGGTCCCACCTTGGAGTACTACTACACTCCACGGATTGCTGACATCCGCCCGGTCATCCTCTATCCGCCTATTCCAGCAAACAACTTCGAGATCAAGCCATGCTGGATTCAGCTCATTACATCCTCTATCCAGTTCCATGGCTTGAAGGATGAGGAGGCCAGGGTGCATCTTTCCCGTTTTCTGCAGCTGACGAACAGGTTCAAGCTGAATGGTGTTCCTGATGATGCAATCCGCCTTCACCTTTTCCCCCATTCTTTGGCGGGGAATGCTAAGAGGTGGTTGGAGACCCAGCCCCCATTGTCCATCACCTCTTGGGACGATCTGGCTGACAAGTTCGTGCACAGGTACTATCCGGCATCGAAGACTACCGAGATCCAGCGGGAGATCACTCACTTCCGCCAAGAGCCAGATGAGTCACTTCGTGATGCTTGGGAGCGGTACATGGGATACTTCTGGCAGTGTCCCCATCATGGCTTTAGTGATGCTTTCACAGTGGGGAACTTCTACAGTGCTCTCTCTCCAGACAGCCAGAGGGTGATTGAGTCTCTATGCCCAGGAGGGGATATTCTTACTAAGACTCCACCCGAGCTGAACCAGATGATCAATACCTTGGCTGCCAGAGATCATTTTTGGGGACAGAGCAGCAGAGGCAGACATTCCCGGGACCGTGGTGTGCATGCCATGGAGACCAGATCCGGGCTCGAGCAGCAGGTAGCTGAGCTAGTGCAGACATTGAAGCAGCCCAACAGTCTTATTCCGGGCAGAGGTTTGGCTACACCTCCAGTAGCTCAATGTCAGTGGTGTGAGAGCTCGAATCACTTAGTGGAAGACTGCCAGGCTATGAGGGAGTCTACTACTCCCCAAGAGCAGTTGGACTTCATTGCCAATGCTCGGTGCCTCGACCCATACAGCAATACATATAATGAGGGGTGGCGCCAGCATCCAAACTTCTCTTGGGGCAGCAACACCACTAAGCCACCTGGTTTTCTAGCACCAGCTGGTGGCTTTCAACAGAGGCAGCCCTTCCAGGCTCGACAGGGGCCAACCCCACAGCAGCAGCCCTACCAGCCTAGGCAGGGGCAACCATTCCAGCAGCCCCAGCGCCAGTTTGCCGATCCAGCAGCAGCTCCAGCTCCTAATACTCAGATGACGAAGCTGGAAAATATTCTGGCTTCATTCATGATTAGCACTCAGGCAACTATCACGAGGTTGGACCAGAGCGTAGCCTCACTGGAGGCAGGTCAGAGGAACCAGGGTGCCATCTTGCAAGATCTGCAGAACCAGGTGGGTATCTTGGCCCGCCAGAACACCACCAGGGCATCGGGGACTTTGCCTGCCACCACTTTTCCGAATCCTCGTGATCCTCACCAGCTCCAGCAGCTTGATGCCATCACTACCAGGAGTGGCAAGACCACATCACCCGTTCCTGTCCAACCCAGTCGAGATGAGCCACTACCTGCTTCAACACTTCCAGCTGATACTGCAGAAGCGGGGGAAGACACAGAAATGCCTGCTCCCAAGCCACGGCCAGTGGTTAAGGAGCATGTACCTCAGCTTCCTTTCCCCACTCGCCTACATAAAGACAAGCTGGAGACTGAGTTTGCCAAGTTCATGGCAATGTTGAAGCAGGTCAACATCAGCATGCCGTTCGTAGAGGCACTGTCAAAGATGCCCAAGTATGCCAAATTCATGAAGGACCTCCTCACCAACAAGAAGAAACTTGGGGATCTTTCGACAGTGATGCTGAGCGAGGAGTGTTCTGCCATCCTGCAGAACAAGCTGCCCGAGAAGCGAAAAGACCCAGGGAGTTTCATTATCCCTCTTGTTATTGGCAGCATGCATGTAGGAAAGTCCTTGGCGGACCTAGGCGCTAGCATAAATGTCATGCCTTATAATTTGTTTAAGAAGCTAGGCCTAGGTGAACCTAGAACTACTAGGATGAGCATTCAGTTAGCTGATCGTTCTATCATGCATCCTAGGGGTATCATTGAGGACTTGCTTGTTAATGTGGGTGCATTCACATATCCTGTTGACTTTGTTATTTTGGATATAAATGAGGATGTGGATGTACCTTTGATTTTAGGTTGACCGTTTCTCCCCACCGCCAAGGCGCTTATTGATGTGCATAGTGGTAAATTGATTCTGCGTGCTGGTGATGAACATGCTACATTTTCTGTGTCTGAGAATGGGAAACACTCTCATTTGCATGATGACATAGATTACTGTGATATGCTTGCTGATTTTGAGACCGCACTCGCTATAACGAGTGCGGGTACTGACGATGTTCTTGAGCGTTGTATTTTGCTAGGTGAGCAAACATCGCAGGAGCCGCAGCTGGCGGAGCAGTTGGCCGAGTTGGAGAGTGGCCCCTTCTTGGAGGGCGATAGGCTGTTCAAACCGATCTCATCCTCCACCCGCATCACTACTTCCTTCAAGGAACCACCAGAGCTGGAGCTTAAGCCCCTCCCTCCTCATTTGGAGTATGCATTTCTCCGGGAGGGGAATAAGCTGCCAGTCATCATCAGCTCGACCCTCACACCCGAGCAGAAGACCAAACTGGTGACCTTGCTGAAGTAGTATGAGAGAGCTCTCGCATGGAAGATCACAGACATCCGGCCAGATACTGATGGAGGATGAGATGCGGCTAGTGAGACAGCCGCAGAGAAGACTGACACCGAACCTGGAGGCTGTGGTTCGGGCAGAGATCGTGAAGCTGCTGGACGCGGGGATCATCTTCGCCATTTCCGACAGCGAGTGGATCAGTCCCACCCAGGTGGTACCCAAAAAGGGTGGGATGACTGTGGTGCCTAACGAGAAGAATGAGCTGATCCCGATGCGCACGGTGACTGGGTACCGTGTCTGCATTGATTACCGGCGTCTCAACGACGCCACTCGGAAGGACCACTTCCCGCTACCATTCATTGATCATATGCTGGAGAGACTGGCGGGGCACGAGTTCTACTGTTTCCTGGATGGGATGTCCGGGTACTTCCAGATCCCTATTGCACCGGAGGACCAGGCGAAGACCACTTTCACCTGCCCCTTCGGAACCTTTGCCTACCGGAGGATCCTATTCGGGCTATGCAATGCCCCGACCACTTTTCAGCGATGCATGCTCGCTATCTTTGACCGTCTGGTCGGCGAGATTATGGAGGTGTTTATGGACGATTTCTCGGTTTATGGAGACTCATTTTCTCACTGTCTCCATAACCTGGAGCTTGTCCTTAAACGGTGTGAAGAAACGAACCTGGCACTGAGTTGGGAGAAGTGTCACTTCATGGTTCGAGAGGGCATAGTTCTTGGGCATAAGATCTCCAAGATGGGGATTGAGGTGGACAGAGCGAAGATTGAGACTATCAGCAAGCTGCCTCCTCCTACATCTGTTAAGGGGATCCGGAGTTTTCTTGGTCACGCAGGGTTCTACAGGCGGTTCATCAAGGATTTCTCGAAGATTGCTCTTCCCCTAACTAAGCTCCTAGAGAAGGATGCCCCCTTCCAGTTCACTGATGCATGCACAGTGGCTTTCACGACCTTGAAGAAGAAGCTCACTCAAGCTCCTATCATGGTTGTTCCTGACTGGTCTCTGCCATTTGAGCTTATGTGCGATGCCAGTGACTTTGCTGTTGGAGCTGTGTTGGGGCAGAGGCGAGATCAGCACTTCCGACCTATCTACTACGCCTCAAAGGCCTTGAATGATGCCCAAGAGAACTACACCACCACGGAGAAGGAGCTGCTTGCGGTGGTGTTTGCCTTCGATAAATTTCCTCCTTATCTGGTCTTGTCCCATGTGACCGTGTATACAGATCACTCCGCGATTCGATACTTGATGAGAAAGGCTGATGCCAAGCCTAGGCTCATACGATGGATCTTACTGCTGCAGGAGTTTGACATTGAGATTCGGGACAAGAAGGGAGCGGAGAATGTTGCTGCCGATCACCTCTCCCGGTTGGACGCACCCCCTGCGGACAACCTCGAGGAGGAGATCAATGACTCCTTTCCAGATGAGAGACTGATGATGATGTGCCTGGTGGAGGGTGTCACCCCCTGGTATTCTGATTTTGCAAATTATCTTGTGGGCCAGCAGCTGCCCAAGGGGATGACAACTCACGCAAAGAGGAAGTTCTTCTCCGACCTGAAGTACTACTTCTGGGATAACCCTCATCTCTTCAGGATCGGAGCCGATGGGATCATCCGTCGATGTGTTATGGAGAGTGAGATGGAGGGCATTCTATCTCACTGTCATGAAGGACCTGCTAGCGGTCACCACGGAGGGAAACGCACGGCGAGGAAGGTGCTCCAGTCGGGCTTCTACTGGCCCACGCCCTTCAAGGACGCAGACGCCTTCGCACGCAGGTGCGACCGATGCCAGAGGTCAGGTAACATCTCTGCCCGTGATGAGATGCCCCAAAATGTGTTTATAACTTGTGAGATTTTTTATGTCTGGGGTATCGACTTCATGGGCCCCTTCCCTCCATCTTTTGGTAATACATATATTCTTGTTGCTGTTGACTACGTCTCTAGGTGGGCTGAGGCGCAAGCTTTGCCCACTAATGATGCTAGACGTGTTTGTGATTTTCTGAAGCAGCTATTCTCCCGGTCCGGGACACCTAGAGCCATCATAAGCGACCGAGGCACCCATTTCCAGGGTTAGTTCGATAAATTGTTGTCTCGCTATGGTGTAACTCATAAGGTGTCCGTGGCCTACCATCCTCAAACCAGTGGCCAGGCCGAGCTGACGAACCGGGAGCTCAAGCGGATCTTGGAGAAGACGGTGAACCTATCCCGCAAAGATTGGTCCACCAAGCTCGATGATGCTCTGTGGGCATATCGCACTGCCTACAAGACGCCCATTGGTACCTCACCGTACCGGCTAGTCTATGGAAAGGCATGCCATTTACCCGTGGAGCTAGAGCACAAGGCCTTCTGGGCCCTTAAGCTTCTAAACTTGGATGTTAGTGTTGCAGGTGTTGAGCGAAAAATGCAGATGTTGGAGCTGGAAGAGTGGCGTTATCACGCCTATGAGAACACCAAGCTGTAAAAGGAGCGCACGAAGCGCCTGCATGATGCACGGTTGCGGGGTCCGAAAGAGTTCCAGGTTGGTGATCGAGTTATCCTTTATAACTCTCGCCTGAAGCTCTTTCCCGGAAAACACCGTTCCCGGTGGTCTGGACCGTACACGGTCACACAGGTGTTCCCGTATGGCACAATTGAAATTGCCAACCCGTAAACTGAGCCATTTAAAGTGAATGGCCATCGTCTCAAGCTCTACCTGGGAGACGAGGTCGAACGTGCGGAGTTGGCAGTGGAGCTCGCGGACCCTTAGTTCCGCAATTGGCGTTCAGCTAAAAGACGGTAAAGAAGCGCTTGTGGGGAGGCAACCCCACCACGGTTTGCATTTCTACCCTTTGTTTTTATTTATTTGTTTCATTTTTGTCGGTTTTTGAGTCTTTGAGTCTGTCTGGAGTCAGTCTGGAAAGTTTTTCGTGCCTCGGGCGGTTCTTTTTACTGTGTGATTGGGTAAATTTTAGAGCCGGGGCACGAATGAATCTTGGTGGTTTGAGATTGAAAATTGAAAAAAAGCATTTTGGGCTCGGAAGTAAAAACACGGGCAGCAGGGGGCCAAAACACGGCCGTGTTTTGCCCTGTCCCGCCCGTGTTTTGCTTTTTGGCCTCGGCATAAAAAGCACGGGCACGGGCCCTTCAAAAACACGGTCGTGTTTTGAAAGGAGCCCGCCCGTGTTTTAATAAGGGAGCAATTCGCCCTCGGCAGTGAAAACACGGGCGAGGAGCAGGCAAAACACGGCCGTGTTCTGCCCCGCCCGTGTTTCGCTGCCCCCCCCCCCTCCCTATAAATGCGATTTTTCCGCCCCCCAAACCCTCAAGCCTCATTTTTTTTCAAATTTCCCAGCCTCCTCTCGCCGGAAAATCGGCCTTTTCACCTTCTCCTTCCATTTTCCGGCCATAACTTCCTCTCTCGACCTCCAAATCACAAACCGCGAACGCCCCCACGCTCCTAGCGTCGAGGAGCACATTCCCCAAAGATTTGGGCTAGTTTGGCTGCGGTTGGGTCGCCGGCGGTGAGTTTTCTGGCGAGTCTCCGGTGTGTTTTCCGACGACTTTGGGTGCTTCTTTCCACTTTCTTCACCTCTCTCGTGGTCTCTTCTTGCGTCTCCAGGGGGCCTTGTCTTTTCCTATATTTTTGGAGAATCGATACCTAGAGTTAGGTGAAGAACTTCTGATTGTGGAATGAATGGTTTGGGAATATTTTGGGTTTGGGGGATGATTGGGATGATTGCATGTTGCATTGTATGCAGGCTAGTATGGTTTTTGTGTGGTGGATCGATTGGTGCTTATTTCATACGGGTTTGGGTATTCTTGTTTCACCGGGGGCCTAGTCCACTGTCCGAATCGCTCGATTTGAGGGTCCCCGGTGTATTTTGCTGTGTAAATCTCATATGATGGGTATGCTTGTTTCGCCGGGAGTCTAGTCCACTGTCCATATCTTTCGATATGAGGGCTCCCGGTGTGGGTTTGGCCTAACATTGACCCCGTTTGCTTGTGTACACTTTGTCCTTCATTGTGTTTTGCAGGATCATGGAGGTTTATCTCGACCAGATGAACATCGTCCAGCACCATAAGCTGCGGAACCTCCGTAACCGCAGCATCGCCGAGCACTATCACCTCGATTGGGAGGTGTTCGATGAGCTTCATGCCAGGCCACAGATGGAGGTCGTGGTCCGCCCCTATGGTTGGCGGCGTCTTCTCACCCTCGCCGAGCCGACCTACAAGGATCTAGTCTGGGAGTTCTACGCCACCTTCCGCCACAATTCGAAGGGGAACTCCGACCATGCTGATGCAGTTCAGTTCACCCTCGGCGGGGTGGAGCACTCCCTCAGTTACTGGGAGTTCGCCAATGCACTTCGTCTCAATTCCTGGGCAGCAGGCGGGCCTCCTCTCCGCTTGGATCTCTCTGATCCCACAGACTTCGCTTCCCAGGCGTACTTTCAGAGCATCTGCCTGCCGAACAGTGTGGATGAAGAGTACGTGGCCAGCCAGACGCGGGCTGCTCTCCTTCGTCCGGAGTGGCGGATCCTCAACCACTTGATGTGCACTTCTTACACACCCAGCAAGGGCTCGTCCAACCGGGTCACACTCCGGACACTCTGGTTGATGCATGCGATGGGACGTTCTGATGACACCATCCAGCTGGGTTCTGTGCTTGCCCGGACGTTCACTAAAGCCGCAATCAGCACAACTCGCAGCCTTGTTTGTGGCCCGGTGATCACCGCCTTGGCCCGCACCTATGGGGTGGACTACACAGGGATGACATTGGTCCGCGGGCCAACCCCACTCGGCGAGGCTACTCTCCGCCACCAGCACTTGGTTGCTCGCCACGGGCGTGTGCGCTGGATCGCGGGCCTTCCTCAGCCACCTATACCTGCAGAGGGCGACCAGGCCGAGTCGAGCGCCGCTGGTGGGCGGCGAGTTCCCCATCGCGTTCCCCGTCGTGACCAGGCTCCCGCGAGCCCCTCTTCTGCTCCCCGGTCTCCTTCTCCAGGGTCACCTCCTCCAGTGGTGGTGCCCATCTCCGACCAGTTGGCGGCGATCGCTCAGCAGAATGAGCGCATCCTGGCCGGCCAGGAGCGCATCCACACCCGCCTTGATCGTGAGCGGGACCGAGGGCGTCGTCTCATGTCGGGGCAGCACTACATCATGTCCTACTTGGGCTTGGACCCGAACGCGGTCCACTACCCGTTCGTGCAGTCCCCAAGGTTTGAGGATGAGTACCCTCCACCCACCGGCGATGGTGGTGATGCCTTCTAGAGCGGGTTTTGTGCTTTATTTGTTTTTCAGACTAAGACTCCGTGTTTTGTGGTTTCGTTTTGTTTTTTTTTATCGTGGATTGTATACTTGGTACTCTTATTCCTATCACTCAGTGTGTGTGTGTTTTTGTTGTCTCTAGCTCTGTGCCTCCTTCTTTTGACTGGTCCGCCATCCAGTCAACTTTCCTGACCACTGTTTCACGGTAACATCGTTCCCCTTCCTTCTGCTCCATTGAGGACATTATCGCGTTTAAGTGTGGGGGGGTTCTTTGTATGAATTGGAACGTATATATGTGTGCTTGGAGCCTAGTCCACTGTCCAAATCTTGAGATTTGAGGGCTCCAAGCACGGTTGTTTGCTTGATGATTGATTGTATTGGCACTGTGGATGTGATTAGTGAATTGAATGGCTTTTGACTTGATACATGACAACTTGAGTGTGATGTAGACAACTTATTGTGATGACTGAGATGTGCAGTAGAATTGTGTAGGGGATCAGTTTTTCAACTGTCTGCTCACCAAATGTGACTTAGTTTGATCACTTGCTTTTGACAGTCATTTATGCATCTAGTTCAGGGAATCAGAACTAGAGATAGAGCATATAGGTAGCCATGTGAGATTTGAGCCTGCTCGTTTCTTTCTTGTGCGATAGTTCCCTCTTCCATGATGTGCAGCATTCACGTTGTCATTAGCTAAGATGATGGAGGCATAGGATTAGCCCACGACCAAATTGACTGTCCTGGTGTGTCATACCCCTAGTCAGCCCCTTTGAGCCGTGTGTTTTTCTTTCTTTCGGTCTTCAATGAAAAGTCACCCTTTTGCATCTTTTAGAAGGTTCCACAGAGTGATTTTTACATGTTCTCTGCTGTTTCTGCTAAATGTAATGTGAGGGTTGGAGGTAGTGCTTAAAAGTTGGGCAGGTGTTTGAAAATGTGCAGAGGCGGTGGTTCTCTTATGAAATGAAAAATAATGAAAGAAAAACAAAGAAAATAATGAAAGCAAAAGAGAGCCACCACAAAAAATCTGAATAATGCCCATGTAGTAGTGTTTCTTAGCAGTCTGGCTTAGAAATACTAGCATTTATGTAACCTCCTTCGCTCTTGTGCTCTGAACTTGAGTAATGCAGAATAGCAGAAAGAAGGTTATTGGTTTGATTGATTGTGAGTCTGTTGGGTTTGGAAATGTGGAACCTTGTGCTGTATGAATACTTCCACCACCTAAAAGGCATTTTCCCCATGTCCAAGACCCTAGCCAGTCATCTGAACCTGTGTCTAAGACCTCCGGATTAGTTAGTGATGACACCCCATATGTGAACTCTAGCACTTAGAGGCTGCATTCATGATGAAGAGATGTTAGGGATTGAGAGATTAAGCATGCGCATTTTTCGCATCAAATTGTCCTGACCCCACTGGTCGAGAGTGAGCGATTCATTTTCTCTTATTCTATATACTCTTTATCCCGGTGAGGACCTAGATTGCTCGGTCTTAATTCTGATATCTTGAACTTTGTGCATGACGTGACTGTTTTGAACAAGTGGTTGAGTCAAGTCTATGTTGGTTGGTGAACAGAAGGGAGACTCTTCCTTTGTTCGATTTTACTACATTCGAATGTCATCTGTGGTGGTTGTCTAGGTTATCATTGAGGTTGTCCATGTGTTACTGATCGAAAGCCAGTATGATCCACGTGTTTTGTGCCGATATGACATGCCCTGTTTTGAGCTTACCTTGTGTCTGACTTTGTTTGCTTGGGGACAAGCAAACGGTTAAGTGTGGGGGAATTTGATAACAATGTAATTGCACATATTTGCGCCCCTAGTTCTTATCCGTTTGAGGGGCATAGTCGTGTATTTTTTGCCTATTTTACGCCGGGTTGTGCTATTTTGTCATATTTCAGGTCCCAGGTGTCAAAGGAAAGGGTAAGCACGAGTTTCGGGGCATTCGGAAGTCATTTCGTCGAGCTGGAGCCAAAACACGGGCACACCTAAAACAGAACACGGCCGTGTTCTGTGGCCGTGCTTTTACTGCCGAGAGCTAATTGAGTTTGGCAAATTCAAGCTGCAAACACGGGCTGAAAGCACGGACGAGCACGGCCGTGTCCTCCCAAAAGCACGGCCGTGTTTCTCCCAACACAATGGCCGTGTAATCAACCCTAGCCAAAGCACGAGCGGGCTGAGGCAAAGCACGACCGTGCCCTCGACCGTGCTTTGGCCACTGATGCCCTTTTAAGCAGATTTCAGCCAAAACAGAAGGGGATTCGAGTTTTGAGAGAGATAGAGCGATTCCTAGAGAGAGAAAGCGACGAACAAGAGTCTCCAAGTGCCCTAGCTTGATCTTCATCACCATTGGAGGCCAGTTTGAGCTTGGAGAAGTGCCGATCAACGTCCAGGAGCAGGAATCCATCCTTCACAGTATGAATTCCGCGTCTGATTCTGCTTTTGCTTCTTTCTCCATGGAGTAGTTCTCCCATTCATCTGGGTATGGAGAACCCTAGATTTGTATGTTAGGTTTGATTGTATGAACCCAAGTACTGATTCTATGAGTTGATTATATTCGATTGAGGCTTGATTGATTGAATGACTTGAATCCTGATCAAATTCCTGTTGTTTCTGCTTTAACCTAGAATGAGAATATCTGCCTAGGTTGATAGAGCATCCTTGATTGAAGGTAGGGAGTTGGTGACTTTAGTCGAGGAACCAACTCACTATTCTGTACCGGATTCACTCCGGTAGTGGAGGCTTTGTTTGTTAAGGCCTCAATCTGTTTACTCCGGTGGAGGTTAGTCGCCCGCTAGAGACTCAGATTGAGAGGGTCTGAAGACCTTTAGTCGAGACTTCAGGCTGTTTAAGAACCTTCCGCAGTATAACTATCATAGAAACTGAACTTGGTAATTACAATCCGGCTTAACTGCAGTCTAGGGGGAACCATATCAGGGTGACCTCTCTTAACCTGAATACAACAGTTTACTTGCTTTGTTTGTTTGGTAGTTTAGACTTGCATTAAAGTTTCATTGCTAGATAACAAGAATTCACTGAGTAGTCATCAAATCTAGGACCCGGGTTGACATTTAAACCTAAACCCGCTATACTACGCTTTAGGAAGTGGTTTCACTTGGCCAATTCCTGGAGTCACAGTAGAAGTGAGTCACAGTCCATATGAGGTGCTCTATCACCGTCTACTGGATTATGCTTCTCTATGATTTTTGGATGTGTCTGTTATGTTCTGTTACCTCGGCGAGAGAGACATAAACTTGCTCCCAAAGCTGTCAAGTGCATTTTTGGGGGTTACAGTCACAAACACAAATAGAAGGATTCGTATTTCTTGCCACGTGGCTTTCTTGGAACATCTCTCATATTATCCTACCAACAGTTCAGCTTCACGTGAAAACCCTAGCTTCTTCCAGCCTCAGCTTTTATTTATTAAGCCCCCAAACTCCCCTGCTAGTGATTTTCCCTCTGATTCTGGTCAAGGTTCCATCTCCATGGATATTGATCAATCCTTGTTGATGGGCAGTGGGTCATCATCCTCGTCTCAGTCCAGCCCAAACTCTCCGCGCGCGTCGAGCTCATCCTCATCTGGCTCCTCCTTGTCGTTGGACTCCCCAGTCGTGTCGTCCTCCTTGGCCTCGGACGACTCATCCTCGTCGAGCTCCTCATCTCCGACGGCTTCCTCCCCAGCGTCCGCCAGCTTGCTCATGGAGCCTCCACCTCTTCATCGATCTGACCGTGCCATAAAAGGTCAACCGCCTCCTCGGCTGTCCAATTTTGTGGCTTTCTCTTCCACTCCCAATTCTGTTCCGACCACGTATAAACAAGCTCGTGGCCACGAGCAATGGCAGGCAGCCATGGATGTTGAGACTCAAGCACTGGAAGCAAACCAAAGCTGGGACGTAGTTCCTCGACCCAAGGATCATCCAGTTATAGGGTCTAAATGGGTTTATTCAATCAAGATGTTTCCAAACGGTTCCATAGAGCGCTTTAAGGCTCGGGTGGTTGCTCAGGGTTTTAGACAAGAGTTTGGTATTGACTATGGTGAGATGTTTGCAGCTATTGCTAAGATGCAAACGGTCCGCACTCTGCTTGCTGTTGCGGCGATGAAGGGATGGGCATTGAAGCAATTGGATGTCAAGAACGCTTTTCTCCATGAGGATTTGAAAGAACTATTTATATGGAGTGTCCTTCGGGTTATTCTAAAGGTGATAAATCTCAGGTCTGTCTCCTTCGTCGATCTTTATATGGCCTGAAACAGGCACCTCGTGCATGGTTTGAATTTCTTGGTTTTTAGGAATTAGTAGGGGGAATGAGTAACGGGTAAATGGGAGGAGTTTCTTCTTCTTTCATCCTATTTATCTCGTTACTGCTTCTTCTAATAAAAGAGAGGGGGGTTTTAGGGAAACGTTTGGGGTGGAAAGATGGGGTTTAACATGTGTGGGATTAAGGAATTAAAGGTATGTTTAATTTGGATTTGGAAGTAACTAGTAGGGAGAGAGAATTCTAGAGGGAGGGATTAATGGTGGGGAGAAATATCTTTTCCCTTTTTTTTAACAATAATAATAATATAATAATTAATATTATTATTAATCCTAATCTCCGGTTGTCACCCTTTGTACGTAATCGTCGATTCAACCTTTCGGTCAAACCCAGACCTAAATGTCGAAGTGTTACATTTCCTCCCTCCTTAAAACAATTTCGTCCCCGAAATTGGAACTCTATACTCGACATTTGGACTAAAATACCCTGCAATTGATAGCGGTTGTCTCGACTGAGATATCACATTTCCCCCCTCCTTAAGAAAAAATTTTGACCTCAAAATTTGTTACTCGTGATGCCTCAACCTTTCACCTGCGTTAATCCTTCTACTACAGGGATGTATACTTCCTTTACTTTCACAACCCCCTTTATCGATGTTTCGTTTTAGCTTTTATGCTCGAACTCGGTTCAGTATCTCCTCGTCATTCCTTATCAAAAGTTCTACTTGCCTTCTCCGACATTTATTACAACTCCCCTCGAACGTCCTACCTTATTGTCCATCCTCGGCTGACTTGATGACTTTTCTTGGCAGGTTTCGAGGTCCTAACTCTTAACCTACCTTGGTCCAATGATGCTCCTTGTGTCCTTTGAATTTTTGACTCCCCATGACTACTGTAACTCTTATGGTCTCTCGAATCCCTCCTCGTACTTTGACTTAGATGGCTCCACCATTAGCCCCACATACTTAAACCTAGCTACCCTCTCCACGGTGCCCCTTAACTCCAATTTTGACTATTATGGCATGTACCACCACCTGGTGGCTTATCTAAACTTGGGCAGTGGGGAACGCGAAACTCGTCACCATCAGGCTCCATGCCTATCTTGCTACTACGGAACGTATTTCCATATAGTAGGAATCCCTTGCATACCTTATCCTCTAGCTTGCACTTAACAGCCACATAGTGCTCTTGCTCCTTCCACATTCTTTACATCGCTAATCTTGATGGTTGACTCCTTCCTTTCAAGGACCTTCCGCCTAACATCTTAAACTTATCGTGGTGGCTCTTCAACACGATTCTCAAGAGCATAACTGTTGCTCATTTTAAAAGTCTCAAGAGCATAACTGCTGCTCTATCTGAAAATCTCAAATGGCAACGGACTGGCGCTAGTGACTAAAAACACTTAAAACGACTTCACCTTCTTGAAGGTGAGTTACTTCTTAAAAAGAACTTGTTTCTTAAACTTTAACAATAACTTATACTCGTAAAATTTCAAAGGAAAAAAATAACATCCACTTCAAGCATAGCTAAAAAAAATCACATATCCTCAACCATAAGCACAATCAACAACGACAATCACTTCATCAAAATACTTAAAGCTCGAAATACTGAAAGAACACGTAAGGCGTAGAATTTACCCTCTTTACACTCACCTTATATCCGTCGAAACCAACTCTGAATCTGCTCTAAAATTTCCGAGTCAACGCATTTGACCATGACCTCTCTGGAAAAATCACACATTTAATCCTCTAACTTCTTGAATTGCCAAGACTGATACCTGAACTGTCTGATTTGCGTCCCAAACTTTCGACGCTCGTATATCCCTCGTCCGATGTCGAAACTCAATTCCGTCAAGACCGTGATGCTCCTTGGATCGTCCTCTTCGATAACCATCACTCAAAGAAAATTGGAAGTCGCCTACGCCGGGATCGTTGTCGGAACTGCTTGAGCTGAGGAATTCGATGTACTCTATCTAAAATCCAATGAACTGCAAGCTCTCCTGTCCGCTGGCAATTCATCGATCACTTCTGATCGCTTTGGCCCACGATTGGCCATTCTCCCCAGGATCCTAAATAATTTGCTGATGAGTTCATTCAATGACACAATCACGAGGAGATGCCGCCCACAACTCGAGTTACTCCCGCTTGCACCGCCTGAAACATGGTTGGCCACCATTGTACACGAACTGCCCGCTGATTGGCTTAGGGTTTAGGTTTGTTTATATGGATTCAAGGTAAGTAAGGGATCGGTTCGGAGGTGTTGTCGTCCATCTTTGATTTTGGGGACATGACCAACCGATCGGATCCCGGCGCTGCAATTTCTTCATTTTCCCCTCCTTCCACTGCTGCTTGATTTGTATATATATGGAACCGAGGGGAGTGAATGTGTTGGGTGGGTTGACTTGGTACATCAACTGGGGAACATGAAACATCGTCCACCTGGTTCCTCTCTTTGCTAGTACAGCAGCCCACTTGCACTCGTGGAAGGTATGGTCGACGTACCTTGTCCTCTCTAGAAGGCGGAGCATGAACACTCGCTTGAGGCCCTCCATGGCCTATTGGAATTCAGCACAAGAAAGCTTTCGCTCCACCAACCTAGCTTTCTCTCCTCCCGGTGTTTGATCTCGATTGTCTACAGTCCGACAAGGGGTTGTTTAGGTTTTCTTTTTAAATAATAATAACAATAACAATAACAATTATGTTATTATTATTATTCCTAGCCCACGATTGTAATCCTTTGTACGTAACCGTTAACCCAACCGTCACGTATTTTGGTCGAACCTGAACCCAAAATTCAGGGTGTTACAAATCTGCTCTTCTCCTTCCTCAGACGTATCAAAGTCACGCGGGCCTAATATAGTTATTTCCCTAATCATGATTAGGGTATACTGGAGATTCTAAAATCCCTCAAAAGAACCCTTTTGACTCCCTTCTTCCTTAAAACAAACCTTGAAAAACACAGATCGTCACTCCAGTGTTCCTTGAAGACCAATGAATAGAAGAGTGTCGGTTCTGATACCAAAATGAAACGCCCCAATCCTTTTTAACCAAACAAAATACTCATGGCTCCGGAGCCCATTTTGAAACAACATCAAAAATTTCATTAAAACAAATACAATTGAATGCTTTTCAAATGAAATGCCCTAAACATGTGGGCAAACTCGATCCTTAGCCATTAAAACAACACATCTTGAACCTTGAACCACCAGTATATACTCATAATCATGAAGAAAATATAACCAACTAACTCAAGCTCCTCGCTGAGCTTCCCTCGATCTCGTCCACTTTGGTGCGGCTTCTCGCCTCGCCTTGCCTCTTCTCAAATTCCTCATCCGCTAACTCTTCTTCAACCTGGCGAGTGAGAAGGGGTCAGTCTCATCATTACTACATAAGGTCATGCCCTAAGCAAACCCTTACTAACACATTATTAGCGGGTTTCCTTTCTTAGACGAAAGTCGCTCTCGCTTCCGTCCTTATTATTTTATTCCAATGTTAACTCATAGAAGTTCTCAACTTCATCCTTAACTCATAAATGTTCTCTACTTCTTCCCTTAACTCAAACACACAAATACTAGGGACCACCGCGTTACGTATCACCGTCCAGTGTCCCTGCCCTAGTATGCCAACCGCATTACGTCTCGTCGTCCGGTTGCATACACAAACTTGGAAATGGCACTGCGTTACGTTTCATCGTCCAGTCCATGCCCGGTCAACTATTGTGTTGCGTCTCGTCGTCCAGTAGTGACCCCAACATACACGATCAACTGTTGCGTTACGTCTCGCCGTCCAGCAATGATCTGACCATCTACTGCGTCCAGTAGTGGCCCAACCGCCTGGTGGTTTATCTTACCATTAACCAATTACTACAACCATACATCCATACATTCATACATAGCACAACGCGTGCCTCCTCCTTAAGTAGGCGGTGAGATTCCTCACACACATATCGCGCATTACTCAAAAATTAACTAATTAATAACTTGAACGGAAAGCATAAACTAAAAGACCCACGACAGAGATTTAACCCCCTTTACACTCACCTCATAATTAAGTTGATTGATTTGAACTCGCATTAGAGTCGTCTCTCTTTACATGAACGCAACTCCCCTCCTCTGTTTGCTTCCTGAAGCTCTTTACATGACCATCCAAAGACACTAATTATTTCCAGAACCCTTAGGAACCTCTTACATACTAGACTAATTATGCTTTGCCATTAGAAATAGAGATGGCAATGGGTCAGGTTGGGTCGGGTTTTGCCAAACCCAAACCCAAACTCATGGGTTTATCCGTGAAAAAAACTCGGGGGTAAAACCCACTGGGTTTGAAAAACACAAACCCAACGCAACCTGCTGGGTATCAATGGGTTCATGGGTATCCGCGGTGAATAGTGAACGGGTTTAAACCCAAACCCGGCCCAAAACCCGTCAACACAGATTTTACCCGCGTTGACCGGATTGGGTCGGGTGGGTACCCGTGGGTTCGGGTTTTGTTGTCATCCTTAATTAGAAACAACCCAATTAAGCCCAATCATTAATCTAGCCACGTTAACCTTTGTTTCCCACCAATTACCCACTTAATTGACCATCCTAGATTATCCATTTTAAGCTACATCTTGTAATCCAACTGACCAACTTAAGACCCTTGATTTCCCTCGGAAATAGTAGGCAACACAACAATCATTTCCAAAGTCGAGCTAACAGATGCAACTCAATCATGTATCTGTGTTGTTCGTTCTTCCTACCTTACGTTATAAGTATAAAGGCTTGTTATCGAGTCCGGATCTGGTGACTAAGGGGGGGTGCTTAGTCACTTGGCTAAGCCCCTCTCCTAGCCATTGGATGTAGAAGGATCAATCTAACGGTGAAAATTAGGGAAGGGATTTTTAAATACTGGGAGGGGCAATTCTGGAATAAAAAAAATTCATTAATTGGTTTTCCTTTTTATTCTGGGAAGGGAAAAAAAATTGCCCGAAGCTTTTCCTCCCGCGAACGGCGAGGGAGATTCTCGGCATCCAAACCTCCCGCAAACGGCGATCGGCGGAGCGATTTTCCTCCCGCGATCGGCGAGGCGATTCCACCGATAGGCGAAGGAGATTCCGGCGATTGGCGGCGAGGCGATTCTGGCGATCGGCGGAGCGATTTTCCTCCCGCGATCGGCGAGGCGATTCCATCGATAGGCAAAGGAGATTCCAGCGATTGGCGGCGAGGCGATTTCTGGCGATTGGAGAGGCGATTTTCCTCCTGCGATCGACGACGGCGAGTTCAACTCTCCTCCAGCCAACGGCGAACTCGTTTTTCTAGCCAACGGCGAGGCGTTTTTCTTTGATTGATGGATTCTGCTCCTATAACAATGGATGAAGTGGTTGATGGAGCTAATGAACAAAAAACGGGAGAAACTGGAACTGAAACAGCAATGGATGTAGATATTCAGGAAACAACAGTACAACGTGAAATCGGTATGAAATCTTGTCTGATGTTTGTAATGATTCTGGTTACATTTTGTATTCTTAGTATGTTTTTCTTTGGATGTTTGTATACTTAGTATGTTTTTCCTGCTCTGTTCTGTACATTTTGTATTGTAAGTCTTCATATATGATGATTGTTATGTTTGTACAAACAGTGCAAACAGTACAAACATATGGTTTATGCAGTTTGTACGAAAATACCGTATGGCTTTATAGCTTTAGTGCATCAGTTTGTATGGTTTAATTATGTTTGTAATGTTAGTATGTTTTTCTTTGACAGTTTGTACTCTTAGTATGGTTTTCTGTTGCTGTTTGTACTCTTAGTATGGTTTTCTGTTGCTGTTTGTATTCTTAGTATGTTTTCTGTTATAGTTTGCATTCCTAGTATGTTTTTCTTTGACAGTTTGTATTCTTAGTATGTTTTTCTGCTCTGTTCTGTTTCTGCAGATGATGAGATCAAAATAATACCAAGCAATGAAGAAACGTGGATGAACCTTCGCTTTGACACAAAAGATCATGGATTGCTGTGGTACAAATGCTATGCACATGATAAGGGATTTTCTGTTAGAGAAACAGGAGGGGTTAAGAGAACAAGCAATAACAAACCGTGTGAAGTTGTAAGATATTTTGGGGGCAGATGCAATAAGGAAGGTTGGCGAAAAGGTAGTACAAATAATCCAGCAAATGACGACCATGTTGACCAACAACCTAGAAGCAGAATCAGAAAAGAGGATAGATGGGATTGCAAAGCAGTGATACGCTTCCAGCTTGAAGATAGTTCCCAAAAATACTACATTTCAAGCTGGTTAGATGAGCATAATCACAAGATGATCCCACCATCATCAAGACAATTCATGAGATCAAATAGAACGATGAATGAAGTGCAAAAGTTCTTGATTGACATGTATCACAAAGCTGAAATATCGATACAATCATCATTTCAAGCAT